CCAACAAGATGGCGGCGGAGCGCAGGGACAAGGCGACTCAAGTGCAGATCCACAAGGCGTGGAAGCGCCTCCAAGTGCTCACGACGCAGCGCAAGAAGGCCGACAAGAAGCTCATCAAGGAGATGATGGCCTACCTCGACACGCTTGCGATTGACGGCGAGTAGACATGGATCATGGAAAATCTACGTTCTCTGCGTGGGTGTTGTCTCACGTCAACACAAGAAAGCCACTGCGAGGACACTCGTTGTCGTTGGCGAGAGCCCGTCGTGCCCACGTAATGTATTGGGGGTAGCAGTGTGTGCGAAGACGGAAGGAGGAGTCTATCAATGCAACTTGTGCTTGCGTTGATGGCACCCTGGGTGGGCCGCCTTGTGCTGCAGGTCCTTTGTACACACCGGTATCGTTGTCGTTGTTGCTGCAGCGGATGGTGGCAGGCTCTTGCGTGCTCACCAGACTACGACTCTATTCTAGCAAGGCAAGGTCGAGACAAAATACCGATGGAATACTTCGTGGTACTAGCCTATAAGCTCTATTGGGTCTTCTTGGCCGAGCGCTTGGCTTGGAAGCAGTAGCGCTCAATGAAAAACTTGAGGAAGAGTGCAAAGTAGCTCGAGTACATGAGGATGCCCCACTTGAGGTTGTCGTGGTTGACATGGCACGACGCGCCTTGGCGAATGTACAGGACGCTCATCGTGCACACGGCAACGCCCACTACCATCTATATATCAACTTGATACATCACCAAAGCCAATCCATATAGATATGCGTACCTGGCTGAGCTGGGCGACGGTCACGAGCAGCGCCCATCGTGGGCGGTACCCACGGGCCGTGAGAAAGTAGTAAAAGTACATGATCGCGTGCACCGAGTAGTTCATCGCGACAAAGTAGAGACCGCTACAACATCCGGATGAGTGCATCAGACAACTTGTGCAATATTACCTCGCCGAGCGAACGGCGAACGCGTGCCAGCAAAACATCAAGACGGTGATGTGGTGGTACCAGTGCAGAAAGATGAGCGGCTTCTTGCGCACGACGATGAAGAACGTATCGATGAGCTCCGGCACCTAGTCGTCACTCCTTGGTAAGCGATTAAGTGCGAGTGTTGTAGCACCTTGGAGAAGATGAAGAGGGCAACCCAGAGACCCGTGGGGCCGTTGCCGTAATGGTTCGTGGCCTCCGAGCAGATGGACGCATAGGCGCCGCGCTGGTAGATCGAGTCCAGCAAGAAGGGTACTGTGCGCACGGCGCCGCAGAAGCTAAAGGTCGCCAGCAGCAAGTTCCACGCCGCGAGCGCCCTAGCAGTTTTGGTGTTGACATGTACCAGAAGTAGCCGAGGGACATACGTCTTGAGGTCGAACGGGGCGCGCGAGGCCATGACGTGACGGCCTGTGTAGCAGAGCACACAGTAGACGGCGCAGAGGCCGATGGCAAGGCCCATCGAGTCGGCGCAGAAGCCCGGCTGCCAGCTCAAGACCTATGCCATCGCAGCAGCGTGAGCTCGGAAAGGCCATGAGCATGGACTGTACAAAGTCGCGCTCAAACGCGAACGGGTAGAGCGGGCTCAGGGCCGGGTACGCCTCGTGCAGGAACGGCGCGCGCATGGCGGAGCGTCTTGGGATTTGATTGCACGTGGCGACAAAGAGCAAAGTCGTTGAGTCAACAGTCGACGTCGTTGATTGGCTGTCACTATACCGAGCCCCTTCCTGGAGGATACGGTGGGTGTTACCTCTTGACGCACCACGCAAAGGTTCGTAAACCAAGGTGATCTAATAGACAGGGCGGCCAGCACTTGAAATATATACGACGACACACAAGCATGCACTGGACAGCAGCGTCGAGTGAGGACTTCTGCGACGCGTGGGGTCGAAGCGCACATTTTTTTGCCGAAGATCGACGGGTACGGTCGTGATGAAGCGTGGGATAATGGGTGGCTTACGAAGGGCGAGCGTGGGACATCGAGCCTGGCACTGGCATTTGAGGCGTTTAAGTAGGTCGACGGCACTGGGTATCCAGCAGGCATCACTGGCGCGCCTGTACATTGCAGCACGAAAGCGTGCTCGTCATGCACTACAACGTGGGCGTCCTAGCCGTCTCTCCTTTGTGTGCCCTTGGGTGCGCTGCGAATTGCGTTCTGAGAAAGGGCGTCTGATCGTACTGTAGACAACTCTTCCAAACGCTATTCACGACAATATTAAAGTTATATTAAAGTTAGTAGACTAGAGCGTTGGTCACGTGGTGTTCTAGCAACGACACCACCCGTCTATCGAGCTACATTGGAATCGTGTGACTACTCTGTGACTCTGTGGGCTCCGCAGCAGAGGTGTCGCGACGGTTCAGTGCAACGCCGACCTCGACAACCACAAAAGGGACGATCGCGTGGGCCATCCTCAAGTCGACGAATGCAATTGGACTCGATAGTCTTGTGTGAGTAAAGATTTAATGATGTAAAAGATGATGGCGAAGGCTGCGTGCGACGAAGGATTCGCGTAGAAACAACGAGACTGCTGGCGTTGTCGACTGCGCCGTTGATCGAGTAGCACTTCCGGCCCTCGGGCGCCCGTTGTTCTAGCTGGACTGGCCCGCGGGGTACGGGCAGTCGTTGTAGTGCAGTTGGCGTCGACGCTATAAGTTGAAGTAATATGTATTGGTCCGCCGAGTGGTTGTTCCACGCACACTTTCCGGCGTACTCGCCGTGGACAATGACATTATTCTCTGGGACACCGAGCGTGTACCAGCCGCCTAACGGCCCACGCTCTGGCCTTGGACAAGATCGCGGCGGCCGTTGGGCGAGCTCCGTGAATTAGCGAGCTGTACGACCAGGATCAAGCGCACGCGCCTGCAGAATACACGCAGAAACAAGCACAACAGCTTGTCCTACGCTTGTCGTCACATCTTCGATATCGACCGGTAGCTATGGTCGCTACATAATGCGGCAAAACAACGTGTGATGACGCCTCTCTCGTGCGACGAGAAAGTGCACAAGTTGCGGCTCATCGAGTCACTTGGTCCTTGGGTGTGCACGCTACCAACCTAGCGCCCCGCTTGTTCTTTCTCGTCTCCGCTATCGTGAGATCGAGTTTGTTGGATACTCTACCATACAGGCAAATTGTACATGACCTTGGATACGTAGTTGGATCGCTTTGGATTGGATTCATCATATTTCAATCCGATAAGACGGCGACAATGTCCAAGCCCAACACTTCGTCTAGAAAGCGCTCTGTCCACAGACGGATACAACAGTTCCATAGCTCGTGCAAGGCGAACCGCCGCGGCGCCACGGCGGCCAAGAAGCTAGCGACCTCCGAGTGCCCGAGAGCCGTCGCCAAAGCGTGTCCGGCTGCCACAACGCTGCGCAGCTGCTCTGCGTGCGACTGCCAAAAGAAGTGCACAAGCTTCAAGTGGCCGCCCGCGATGGCGGCGACGAACGCTTCGTTCACGCTCCCTTCGCCCCGGTGCAGGAGCAGGAACGCCGCTATCTCTACGTGCCCTGCCCGGCTTGCACTGGTGAGTGCGTCGCGCGTGCAGCCTTCGCGGCGGTGCCTGTGCAGGAAGCGCACGGTCGCCATGTCGTTGCGAGCCGCCGCCAAGTCGAACGCCCGCGGATTGTAGCCCTCGGTTCGGTGGTGATGCAGAAACCGACGACCGCCAAGTGGCCGTGCATGATGGCCCCC